GAGAAATCCCCCCCACTGATGCAAAATCTGCCTTCACACTAGGAGATAGGCTGCCTTGTCACATGGGGTAATTTGGCTTATCAGATTTATTAAACATGCTTGTCAGTAATACACATTTTATCTGATGATGTGATGCTGTAATTTGTTTGCAGCACAAAGTCAGCGTGTTTAATAAGCTGCTGAGGCCTGGGCAGAGGGAAGGGGCGGGCTTTTTAATCGGTGTGTTGGGAGGAGAGTAGGCGCAGACACGGTGTGTCGGGCAGGAGCTGTGCATAGCGTCGCCTCTGCGAATGCTTCGTGTAGCAGTAGCAATTCCAAGGCTTCGGAGCGGTGCTCAACACGCTTGGGGGTTTTTTTGTTTTCACAGAAGACACGGTGCCTGTGTCTCCGGTGACAGACATTAGGTGGGAAGCAGCACCTTAGGCGGGATCCCTGTTAGACAACACACCCCCCCACACACATTCACACAAGCTATGTGTGATCTCTTTGTGTCACGGCGGTGCATGCGTGGCCAGCCTGGTGAGTCCTCGCTGGCCTCTGCTCTCCCCTTACCGATGGCTCTGCTATACTGGGTTGCAGGCTCTCTTGCACTGTCTAGCCTCCAGTATGCATTGCAGGACCAGAAAACCACGAGGCAGTGCTCTGCTAGCAACCTGTCTGCCAACCTTGCTCTTCCCTCCTCCTCATCCACCACTTCAAACCAAAGTTCAGGAAATACTGCACAGAATGCAGAACATGTGATTTTTGTATCAGTTGTTTCAGCCAGAGAACCCCCCCCTCCAGCAGGGGCAACACAGAAGCATAATGAGTAGCTACCCTGCTATCGGAAAGTTCACAGCACAGTCCATTTGTCTCCTCCAGCAGTGCTCATCACAGTCCAGCAGGGTTTGTACTGCTCTAGCTCTCAGGAAAAGGGACGTGATGGAATTGTCCCCCCTTCTCACCTATTTACCTTGCTTCTCATCTTCTTCTCATGGTCCCTCAACACCACATACTCATCTCCCAGTGCCACGCTGGCAGTAGATGAGGAAGGCAAAACTACCGGGGGAGTTGGCCACAAAGGAGTCTGAAGAGATTTCTTTCCTCCAAAGATGAGTTGTAGGTGGTTGATACATCTGGATCAAAGCACAAGGGAGTTAGACCAGGTTTGGCTCAGCTTCTCAGAAAAACACAGCTGATGAAAGGAAAAAAATAAATTGTCGAATAAAATGTGTGCCTGACGTGAACAAGCAAACCCTCGTGCTTGGCTGTCTCACACACCACCAGCCACGTTCCAAGCCTTCAGTGAAGGCTTCAATGAAGTTCTGTAAATTTTAAGTTTTGTAAACTAAGATTGGTCCCATGGAGAAGTGTAAGTCAGGGAGATCGAAAACAAAGCTGAGCACCCACATTTTAGCTCCTGCCTGCCTATCAACTAATGGAAATACAGATGAGGCAAACCTTTTTGAAAGTGAATAGACATCCAAAACTCCTCTGGCACCTTTGCAAATCTAATCACTGATGCTTCCCTAGACTTAAGTTCCTGACTTCAGGCATTAGGGATTTGAAACTTCGTCTTGCATCTTTTAATTTAGCAACTGCAATTGCCCTAGAAAAACATACTTGTTTCTGAGTAATATTCTCTCTTAGGATCACTTACACGTAGAGAGGAAAAATTTTAGGGCACCTGATGTTTTACTAAGTAAGGAGATGAGAATTACCATGTTTACTTTGTATTCTGAGTCAAGTCCGATTGCAGCATACAGCCGCAGACCCGGGGCATCGAGCACTGGATGTGACGGCAGCACAGTACAGGCAGGGAGCTGTAAGCAGTGCCGTAACTTCGCTCCCCACGAGTGATTTCTCCACGTTGTTACGCTTTCCACACTCCTCCTGAAAGCTAAGGACACTTTTATGAGAGGGTGGTGAGAACTCAGAGTCCGTCTGCTTCCAGATGCAGGAGGGTTTGTCACTAGGGATCAGCAATAAGCAATGCAACTCTTTTGCCTGTGTGTTAATACAAGGCACCAGGGAAATGTCTGCGTATTTTTTCGTACATACTACAAGTTAATTATTACCACAAGACTTTTCTCTAAAGTCATACTGAAAATATTTTCCCTAAGAAAACAGTAAATGATTGGAAAAGCAAATAAATCAGTGTTTAAAGGCTTGTTATCTTACCATCCTTACCACAACTGGCTCCTGCAAGCTCTGGTGATGGATGAGCACATTAGAACTGCACGTATTTAAGGCACTCCAAGCTTTTCAGTGCCAGGAGCTTAAGTACACTGTCAAGTTATAAATCACAGGCCAGGGTTGTGCCTTGACATCACTGCGCTCCAAGCAACTCGAATGGCAGTATTATTTTTAAGTCCTTGCATGTTTCTAATGAAATATTAGGTTTGTTTTTAATTTCTGTTTTTACCATGTTTGTTTGTGTTGCGTTTTGCTCAGCTTGAGCGAGGAAACTGGGAGGTACATTTCCAATAAATCTCACTTCTATTCATATGGCTAACTGTGTCTGACTTGCAAGTATGACAGGGAAATGTGAATTTAAAACATTCTGGGAGAAAGAACTTTAATTATATCGGGCTTATTGTTTATTAAAGCTTTTTCTTTTTCTTTTATAAAAGTTCACACCTGAATTAAAATGTTTTAACCTTCTCTTGGGATGCGGGACAAACCCACCCCTTCCCTGCCAAGTCTTTCCTTCTCCCCTACATGTTCCACCCGCCTGTCCTCTGACCCTACTCCACGGAGCTGTTTGTTCACACTAGCCTGCAGCTCTGTCCACCTGCACAGAACACAACAGTCACCTGCGAGCTGGTGCTTTGATTCTGTCTCTATTCTGATTAAAACTCACCTGTTCTTTCATTAGGTGCAAAGTTTCCCATTAAATGGACTGCGCCAGAAGCAGCATTGTATGGGAGGTTCACAATAAAGTCGGATGTATGGTCTTTTGGGATCCTACTGACAGAGCTGGTAACAAAAGGGAGAGTGCCATATCCAGGTAAGAAAACAGTCTGATCCTTTCTTCACATGGGAAAAGGAGTGGGAAGGAGCCATATGCTTAAACTGGAATGTTTATTTGCTTTCATTGGGCTCAAAGGAGGATGGTTATCATGTGTAAGTTCTGTGTATACTTGAAAATGGTCCTGTCTGAAAGCTGCTGTGTGATGGTCATGATAAAAATGCCAAGAGGACAGCAAGTCCATCATATTAATTTCTAATTCTTTTTTTAATTGTTCTCAATTCAAATATTTCCTAGCCAAATAATGAAAGCAATGTAAAAATTGCTACACTGTGGAGCAAACAGCTCTCCATAGTCTTTCATTCTCTTTAAGATACAGTTAAACTCCCAGAGTGTCATTATTCCGTTTATTCTGTTAGTCTGGTTCTCTGCAAGTTTTGATAACTGTCTGAATGTCTGGTATTACCGATTCTCTTTTTCATAAACTGTTAAATTTCAGTCCGTGCTTTCGAGAAGGATGGGAAGGAAAGAAAATAATTCTGTAAAGTGCAGGCCGGAGCTCACGGCAGGGTCACAGTGGGGCCAGATTCCCTGCATGGTGGATCCAGAGGCCCCATGGCTCTTTGTTGAAATCCTGCCAAGTATCCAGTAGATAAAGATTTGTAGGAGGCGTGATTGGATCTGCCTATGCAGAAACGGCTTTTCATTCTGTTGCCCCCCTGAAGACTGTAGGCATTCAGGTGAAGAGGAAAGGGGTGAGGTGAAAGCAGTCTATTACAGGGAAAATAATCCCTTAATTTTCTTATCAGCACAGATACTAACAACAGGGCATCTAGCTGCACCTTTATTCTCTTCATTAAAAAAAACCCAAAAACTCTCTAAATATTCACCAGTACGGCTGATTTAATGGAAAGCGCCCTAAAGCAGTTTCAATTTTCCAATCTACGCCGTGATGAAGGAGTCAGATCTATAGATCGAATTGTGCAGGAGAAGCATCAAGGTGGAGTTCAGTTTATCCTGTTGTATCTCATGCCACTTCAGGAGGCTGAATTCAGAAAAACTAAACTCCTAGAGTTTTTCCAGGAATTTCAATTTTGCTAGCACCTAGCAGACAGTAGCTGGTACTCAGGAAGTGAATATGGGGACTGGAAGGTTTCTCGTGAATTTTGCCATGATTAATAGGGAACAGCTTAGCAAAGCTGTGACTGTGACAAGAGAATGAGGTAGCAGAAAGCAAGATGACGTGTTTCTGTGGGATGGATGAGTCCCTCTGTCCAGCACTTCCCCATGCGGTTAAGAAAAGTGGGTGTTGCTCCCACACAGCGTGGCTGTGCCAGTAGCCGGCACAAAGGCCGCCTTGCCCCAAGGATTACTGGCAGTGGCGTGGGAGAGCTGTGATTTCCACAGGTTTATTGAGGGTTAAATGCGGACTTGACACAGTGTGCAAAGGTCGAAAACAGAAAGATGTGTAAAACTTAGCTGATAGGGTGCTGCCTCCAGAGGGTGGGCAATGCTCCTTGCTGGGCTGTAGGAAGAGGAAATTCCTAGCCACTACCAGCAGAGTGGGTGTGCAGGGGCTCTCACCAGCCAGGGCACAGCAAAGGTCAATTGTTTTCCCCGAGTTCCACATTTCTGGGGTAGAGATACTTAGTGACTAGTAGCTTTAAGCTGAAAGAGGGTAGATTTAGATTAGATATCAGGAAGAAATTCTTCAGGGAGAGGGTGGTGAGGCACTGGAACAGGCTGCCCAGAGAAGCTGTGGATGGCCCATCCCTGAAAGTGTTCAAGGCCAGGCTGGATGAGGCTTTGAGCAACCTGGGCTAGTGGAAGGTGTCCCTGCCCATGGCAGGGGGGTTGGAACTAGATGGTCTTTAAGGTCCCTTCCAACCCGAACCATTCTATGATGATTCTATGACCAGCCTTCTCTCTTATGTGTCTTATGTGCATGAGCAGACGCGTGAACACACATAGAGGAAAAACACTATTCCAGGCAAAAGTGACCATCTAAGCCCCTTGTTAACTCCTAAGTTTGTAGCTGAACACACTGCTGGACATGGCAGCATAGGATGCCTGCACTTCCCAAGTGTTCCTTTCCCTCCCTGAAGGACGAAAGAGGCCCCCGGATGTGCATTTAAGTGCTTGCAATATATAACTTCTTGTAGGGCTTATGACAGAACTTGCAGGCATGGTCTGTGTCCTGAAAATGTGGACAGTTTTATTACGTGGCAGTTTGAGCACATCAAAGACAACTAGTGGCGTCTCTCCTCTTTCAGCACCATCCTTCCCCTTCATCCCTCACTACATAAAGCCCTGACACACTGAAAGTCCTTCCAGCTCGCTCTCCCCCACCCACGCTGGGAAGACATCAAGTAGCTGGAAGCAACTTTTTGTGTGTTACATATCACAGAGTCAGCAATTTTCTGGATGGTCACGTAATTCCTCGTTTACACGCTGCCCAAGCTCTACGCCAGGTCCCTTCCTCCCACCCTCCTCAGCCAGGAGGCCTTAAGCATTCTCCTGGTCCCCATCACTCCCCTCTCTGTCAGTTTTACCTAAGGATACCTTCTGTTTTAAATCTGAATTTCCAAAATCCTTAAGAGATCTCAGTTTTGTCTCATTCCCCAAACCCTAACTGGGAGAGCTTTTATAGGCTGAGGAAGCCGTGGAGGGGACCTGGAGCCTTCTCAGAATGGAGAGCCTTCTTCACATGTTCTCTTTGCATGTGGGTTGAAAAGAGGGCTCAAACTCAGACCAAGGTGACAAAGAGCTCCTGACCCCTCAGAAAAGATTCTGTTTTCCCCTAACATAGAAAGGATCATCCATCTCCTGCTTCATGCTGGGGGGAGGAAGGACCTCCTGGTAAAATAAAGCTTCATTAATTCAGGTCCCCATCTGGGGCAGGGAGCACCCAGAGGGCCACCATGGTATGGCTTGCACAAGGAGGAAAAGACGGGAGTTCAACCACTCTGAGAGGCAGAACTCAGCTCTCCTCACCCGAGTCACAGTAGACAACCTATAGGTGAGAGAACGCTGTTCGTAGGCACTGCTGACCACTTTGGCACCCAAGGCATGTGGATTTACAAGCTTTGGAAAGGGTCAGCCTTGAAACAGAGGATCATGGAGCTGTCACTCTTCTGTAATACCCAGTTTCTGAACTAGATGTGGGCATCTTGTCCCAATGTTCCTGCCTACAGCTTGTAGCAGGCCAGGGGGAGCAGGGAGAGGCCCTCAGACAAAGGGATTGCTCTCTTGCTTGTCAAGATCTTAGTGCCTGGAGGGGTTATTTACGGCACACACCCCAGCCCTGTGGTGGTAACCATGCCCGCAGGGTACTGTACCTCCTGCCTTGGAGAACCAGGCATTGTTTTAAGCTTGTGTAGAAGGAGGGAGAAGCACAACAAGGAGGATGAAGGAGGAGGCAGGCAGCGCATAGGAGGGGAACAGACTGTGTGGAACACGACTTGGCATTCTTTGCCCTCCAGACTTCAACCAGTTCCTGTCCTGATGCCCTCTTCTGGGAGAGAGGCTGGGGCAGTGGCAGGACATGTGAGCAGTAAAGATTCTGCTGGCCAATACGAAGACTGAGGTAGAGCTTATAGTCAAGCCGTGCCTCAGACCCTATAGCTCCCACAAGCAAGACCGACCTTTAGACAGGTGGCTTCGTCTTTGTCCTTCAACCAAGCCTGTTTCTCTGTCAATGGACATAATGGATCGCCATGATAACTAATTCATTAGTGCTTTTCCTAGCTTTCCCTAATGCTTTCCCATTCTTTTCAGAAGGCAGCAGATTGAAATAAGCAACTTTCGCAGTCTTTCTGGGCATTGAGGTTCTATTTCCACTATCACAGTGGGGAAATAAAAACTAGATATGGGCAGAAGAGGAGCCAAGTTTAAAAAATAGTCTGCTTAGTCGACCTTTTTCAGTGTCTGTTTCTTTTCCCGTTCACAAATTCCCCTTGGATCTTAGTTTGGGGCATTTTTAACGGAGCTTAAGAGTATGAGGCTGCATTTCTCTAGCAGTAGATAGAGAATTTGGGGTTTTTTTAACATGTTACTTTTTGGATAGGCAAAATTCTCAGCTGCACTAAAAAAGCACCTCTGAACTTGCCCCTTCTGCTTTCTGTGGCCCTTGTCACATCAAGAACATTTACATCTGATGCCTAGTGTGACAGCCACGATGCTATCCACATCGCTGCCTGCAGCCAGGTGGGTCTTAGTTTGGGCTCCGAGCAACTCTGCAGTCCCTGGGGAGCTGTGTTCAGCCTCTTTCTCCCTGGGGGAAGCTGGGCCACAAGTGACAGAGAGTGCATGGTAAACATCAGTGAGCCAGTATATATGTGTGTACCCATATATGTGTGTAGATAACCTATGTATGTTATGGATATGGATAAACATATGTATGTTTATCTTCAAGGCCAGGCTGGATGAGGCTTTGAGCAACCTGGTCTAGTGGAAGGTGTCCCTGCCCATGGCAGGGGGGTTGGAACTGGATGGTCTTTAAGGTCCCTTCCAACCCAAACCGTTCTGTGATTCTATGGATAGGTGCTAGATAAGGAGTTGAGAGAGGTGTGTACTCAGCACATTGCACAGGTAAGCTCAGGTGGGTTTCTTTGAAAGCAAGAAAATTACTCTCACAAATGCTGTAGCTCAAAGTTGCATCTTTTATACCTAGCAAATCATAACTTCTTTAAAAAAAACCCAAAACAAAACAGCAGATATCAATAGCCTAGCTTTGTGGGCTTTTTGAGAATGAGGAGCTGGTTGGAGGTTTTCAGGCCTTAATTTCTAAATGAAGTGGCATGACTTTCAGATTTTTAACACTCGTTACTACTTTTTCACAGAAGTAACTAGGTTCATATTGTACTCAGTAAGAACAGCGTTACGCTTCAAAGGTTGTCTTCCTTCAGGTTCAGCTTTCCTGTTCCCTTCAGTGCGCTCTCGTGCCTGCGTATGCAATAATCTCCCTGCCTAAGTCCCATATCCCATCCCTGTGAGAGCCGTCACCTCTGGTTTTTCTTTGGGGCTGTCCATGGAAGTTAGGAACTCTGCTTCTAGA